ATTTAAAAAAAAATAGGTATGAAACAGCTCTCCGCTCTAAATCCTCCATGGCCTTAAGTTAAGAGATGCGGCTCAAATTGTGCTCCATTTATTTCGAGGCAGATTTGGGCTTGGTGTTGCGTCTCTTAATGCAGGCGGGGCATTATCGTGTGATCTTCGACACAGTCCGTACGTAGTTTGTCGGAAACATCCACGATCCTTTGGCGCATTTCGCAAGCACTATCACACTCACGATTAAAAACCCTTTCTTTCACATACCTCCACAGAAAGAAGTCTAACGGGGTCAGATCTGGTGAGAGGGGAAGCCAAGCGCGTGGTCCTAGTCTGCCAATCCAGCGTTCATCAAATAATTCGGTGGGGCGCTCACGGACGAACCTCACGACATGTGGAGGTGCACCATCATGCTGGAACCATGTGCGGCTATATTCAGTCAACGATAGGTCGTCTAAAATGTCAACCAACTGTTTATTTATAAAGTTTAGGTATCGCCGTCCGTTAAGTCGCTGTGGCAGAAACACTGGTCCCAGTATGCGATCTTTAAATAAACCTGCCCATACGTTAACCGACCATCGGGTTTGGTGCCCAGTTTGTCTGACAGTGTGTGTATTTCTTCGGTTCCACAGGCCCTTTCTGGTAAATGTCGACTCGTCCGTCCAGATAACATGCTCAGTGGAACCAGGCACACGTTGTTCCTGGTCTAATAACCAACGGTAGAAAACTCGCCGGCGGTCGTAATCGCCGGGAACTAAAGCTTGCACTTTGTGCACTTGGTATGGGCGCATTCGGTTATGTTTTAACACCTTGTGAACTACACAGTATACACATTACTTGTTCCATCCCGACGTCTTAACAATTTAGCGATACTTCGTGTACCTAGGTTCGGATACCGGCGAACGATATCTAAAATTCGCTCCTCGTATTGAACAGCCACTTGACTTCTACCTCCTGCCACTACCGGATCAATGGGCCGATTTTCCAACACTCGCTTTAATGCGGCTGTTATCAGACGAGAGTCAGCTGGGAGTCGAGCGGTCGGGGATTTCTCTCGGTAAATTCGTAATGCACGCGAATTATTCCCGTAAGCTTCTCCAAGGCACATTAACGTGTTGCCGTATTCACGAGTACTATAGTCTGTCAAACGAAAATAGGGACTGAAAAAGCGCGGCAAATTTAAAAAATCTCAGCGTAGCCACTCTAAAATTTGTATGAAGTACCTGGAATAACCCAACTTGATACTTTAGAGTTGTTTTTGTGTAAACATTATTTGTACACTACTGTTTGACAGAATGTGGACCTACGGTAGCTGTTGTATGTAAAGTCGTATTTTTAATCAGACGAAGTAAACTGAAGTTTCGAGATTTAAAATCATATGTACCCATTATGATCCAAACCAAAGAGACATTTCGAGCGTAGCATTTAGAAAATCAGTTTACTTTGTTGGTATAAAAATACGACTAGGTATTATGTGATATTATCTGAATAAAAAAGACAACAATATTCTATAATAATTTTGGTTTATTCACTACCATAATCAAAATCTGAATCAAGGGTTTCCATGTGGAAAGATTCATTTGACTCACTGGAATCACTATCTCCAACATGAATAATAAAATTTTCTAAATTATCTTCTGTTATTATATCCCTTTCTTTATATTTATTTTCTTTGTGAATTATATGATCAGTAATTTTCTTCCATTCCTGTGAAGTTACGCTTTCAAAGGACTCTTTAATAAGTTTCTCTAACTCCACAGCAGGCAGGCTTTAATAAAAATAAGGATGTGCATACTTTAAACACTAGGAACAAAACATAAGCTTGTAATGCAAGTTACTAGTCTCCACAGAGTCAGTAATTCATTTATTGGGCAATGTATACGCTTTTACAACAAAATCCCAAACAAACCACAAAGTTTTATTAAAGAAAAACTGTACAAAAAGGGTTATTATAATATCAAGGAATACATGAATGAAAATAACCCCTGGGAATAAGGTGATCGCTACCATGCTGGTTCTATGAAAAATCATTTAAAAATTGTATAAACGAAGTTATTGTTAAGTGAAATATGTTTGAAAAAAAAAAGTCCCGCTGGGTTTCTTGCTGGTTCTTCCCAGGACTGGGGTGTTTTCCGAACCAGTGGTAAATAAAAAATGACTTTCAATAAGTATTATGTAATAATCAATATTGAATAAAAAAATTATTCTATTCTATTCTATTCCTTTAATGCTTTATACGCCCATTGTGTGTAGTTGACCCAGAGAGAGCAAAGCAAGTACGAATATAAAGAATTGTAATGAATAACTCTTCTTATTATAATATATATATATATTACAGGGGAGTGTCTTGGGCCCTCCTCTATTCTTGATATATATTAATCAGCTCACAGAATTAAATATTGAGGGTGGCCAAGTCTTTTCGTAGGTCACAGCCCCCTAGTGAAACTTCACTAAAAATTCATTAATGTGATGATACGGATTTTTTAAATTGTAATTGTGAAAAACTTGAGCGAGTACATAACACAAAATACCTTGGAATAATTTTTGACCAACATCTTTCGTGGATTAATCAAATAGAATACGTAAACTCCAGAATTCGTAAGCTAATATTTAAAAAACTGCGTTACATTACAACGACTAAATTGATAAATCAAATTTACACATCTTTAGCTCATTCATGGGGAGGAGCGGCAAAAACTAACTTACTGAACATAGAAAGAGGACAACGATACCTTCTTAAAGTTAGTTATGTGATGTTCTTACGGTTAGGCAACTATATATCTTACAGTCAATTTTAAAAACACATACTAACTCGCCATATGATCCAAAAAAAAACATCTACACGGGGGAATCATAACGTCATTAAACAAATTTATGTAAAATCTAAATTTGCTGAGAGACGGTACTGTGCCTAATCAGGTCTCGAAGATCTAGCAATCGTTTGCTGTTCTAACGAAACTTGTGTGTACGCTTCTAATGCTGTAAATGTAACTTCAGATAACCTGAAGTCGTATGAAAACTAAATTCGTTTTGACAAATATTACAACGCGCTTTTTTATCAGTTTTTTCGAAAAACTCCCACAAAACACAGTGTTTTGTCGCCACATTGTTTCTTTGTTATATTACAACCCAAAACGAAGCTATATCTATATTTACAATCACGAAATCAAATAAATATTTACAAAGGCCTTTTGTTCGTTTTTAGACTTCTTTTATGAACACTAATATCACTATGCGTGCTTTATGTTTCGAAATAAACTTGGAATTAGCAAATAAAGCAGTTTTTAAATAATAATATTATACCCAAAAATTTTATTGCACCTTGTTCGTCATAGATCTAATTAATATGAAAACTCAAGTTCAAAAGTTGAAGGACAGAAGGTCAATAACAATATTTCATCTTAACAAGGTCAAGGCTATTAATGCAGTTTAATCCTTACATTTTGGGGCACAAGTGTTATTTTTCAATATATGGCAAAAACCCGTATTTACTGTGTAGAATTTTATAATAAACAGCACGAGATTTAAAATTGCTTTATTAAAAAAGACACGTTGACAATTTGAAATAGTTATACAAGTATCTATATGAAAAAGAATAATAATAAACTTATTTCTCGAATTTCGCTTCGCTCAACCTACACGTTTCAATATGAGCCCCGCTGCAGTTTCGTTCTTATCGTACACGACATAACATTTGTTTTTGTGCGGCAGCGAGTGCGTGATGTTTTAATATCACGAATCACGATTCCAAGCCAACGCAACGCAACGTTGCAGCGTTGCGGTTCAAAGGTACTCCGTGCGTTGCGGATCGTTATAAGAAATAGACAGTTATGAGCGTTATGTATAACTATCACGTTGCAGCGTAGCGGTTCAAAGGTACTCTATGCGTTGCGGATCGTTATAAGAAATAGACAGTTATGAGCGTTATGTATAACTTTCTATACGTTATAAAGTAAATAGACGTTTTCATAACTGTCTATACGTTATAATGCTCATAGCTAGACATGACTGAGTTTTGGCGGGAACTTGATCGGAGGCGTTTTGCTGCTCCTGTATTATAGTTTAAATAATAGTTTGAAGTGGATTTTGATATGTAAAAGTTGTGCGATTTTATGTATTTACTGTCTACACATGTGAACTATTAGTGGAAACGGTGAAACAAGTGCTCTGATGGTGATGGATTCTCAAGATAAGCTGTTTGTTTGCATAGGCGCCTTTAGATACCATCGCCAACTGTCAGCTGTTTTTTTTTTGGAGTTTATGGCCTGGTATCTAGACCTTTAGGCCAAGTCTTAAGTATTTTTATTCAGTTTATTGTAATTTCCCCACTCCTTCATAGTATACTGCTTCACAATATGTTGATGCGTCACATTGTGCAGTTCTTGGGAGATTTTGGCGGCAACCTGATCCAGCAGACAGCTGATAGTTGGCGATGGTATCTAAAGGTGCCTATGCAAACAAACAGCTTATCTTGAGAATCCATCACCATCAGAGCACTTGTTTCACTGTTTCCACTAATAGTTCACATGCGTAGACACTTAATACACAAAATCGCAACACTTTTACATATCAAAGTCCACTTCAAACCATTATTTAAACAATAATACAGGAGCAGCAAACCGCCGCCGGTCAATTTCCCGCCAAAAACTCCAACTGTCAGCTGCCTGCTGGCTCAAGTTGCCATCAAAATCTCCCAAGGGCTGCACAATGTGACGCATCAACATATTGTGAAGCAGTGAACTATGAAGGATAATTATACATAAAGACAAAGCTGTATGGCATAGTTCCTTTGCCTGCTCTCTCGAGCGAATAATAAAAACAACAATCTGTGAATCTGACATGACTATTGAACACAGAGTACATTATATATAGGGAACACCCCGCCTAAGGGTATTAGTGTTCTGTGGGGAACACATTATACATTATATACATTATATATAGTACATTATATATTGAAGACAATTTATTTTTCTAATTTTCTATTTAGGTTTAGATACATAATAAGTACAATGTTGCGAATATCTAAATTATTACTAAATAATAATTTAAACTATTATGGTGTGGCTAATGTCATTAATGGTAGAACGTTTAAAAATTTCGGCCATAAAAGACAACCAGTACCTCGTATTACTGTATTGTGGCATGGATTTTTAACATTTTCTTTTATTGGTCTTGGAATTGAATGGAAAAGGTAGGTAATTACAAATGTTACTCTGTACAAATGTTAATCTGGACTATGACTTAAGGGTTAATGCCTTAAGTAAAATATTGCCAAGAAAAAAACCTTAAAATTAGTATTATTAAATATTTTTTACAAGATTGTGCAATCAATGCATGTTGCCAGTGATGAATTATGGATCTGAGACGTGGTAATTCATTGCTGGCGGTATGAGGAAGCTTCAAGGTCGCTCATCGAGCTATGGAACGGGCTATGCTCAAGATTTCTCTGTGTGATAAACTTAGAAATGAGGTTATCCGCAGTAGAACCAGAGTAACCAACATAGCCCAATGGTTAAGTAAGCTGAAGTGGCAATGGGCCGGCCATATAGCTCGAAGAACCGACAACCTACGGGCAGGTAAGGTTCTTGAGTGGTAGCCTCATACCGGTAGGTAAAGTGTGGGGTGGCCTCCCACTAGAATGAGTGACGACCTGGTAAGAAATGCAGGAAGTCGATGGATGCAGGCGGCTCAGGACCGTGCTTTGTGGTATTCTTAGGAGGATGTTCAGCAGTTCACATATATATATATATATATATATATATATATATATAATGATGATTTTTTTTATCAATATGGCTCTTGGTATTGTGGTTTTGTCACAATAATTCTGCCAATGACCGGTCTTTGGTCTGTCACACCTTGTCTTGAGGCTTCTCAGTGGGAAAGGAGTTAGCGGGTATTGGGTGAAAATGTGAATAAAAATAAAACAACTGTGGCGGGTGGAAGGAAAAGGGGAGATCTCCCACCGAGCAAGGTGTGGCCCGGAGAGCGGCCAACGCTCCGGTTGATAGTTCTGAGCTATTCTATATATGCTGCTTTAACTTCGGAACTTTCTTAGTGCGATTTAGGCTTCGATGTATTTCACTTGTGGCGCGATGACAGCGCCGCCACATCACCCCCCTGCTCAGACCGGAGGTCGATAGTGCAGTCCGATTGCAAGTGCCAGGGATTGCCTTGTAGTCTGCGGTGAGTCGAGAAGAAGGCAAGTAATCTGCGGGAGTGCCGTGAAGCAGAGGCGAGCAGTAAGGCTCAGAGCCGTGCCGAACACTGTAGCGCAGAGAGTAGCTTGAAGGAACAGGAAGCATTATTATTCCAGTGCTGCGATGAACCTTTGTAAAGCTAGATGGCTCGCAGAATGTGAAGACTGCAGACAATATCTGCTCGGGAGCGAATGAATGGGGTACTTGAGGATGATGACGAAGGTTTGAAGTTGTAGTTTCCGAAGGTTTCCTTCCACCCGTCACAGTGGTAAAAAGGGGAGATCTCCCACCGGGCTAGGTGTTCTGCCCGGGGAGCGGCCAACGCTCCGATTGGTAGTTCGAAGCTATTCTATATATGCTGCTTTAACTTCGGAACTTTCTTAGTGCGATTTAGGCTTCGATGTATTTCACTTGTGGCGCGACGACAGCGCCGCCACAACAACTAAATACACGAATTGTGGCCAACACAATAAAGTCTAGTTATAGGAGGGGTATTGATGATGATGATGATGATGATATTTTACTGTCAATTTATAAATATAAGCTTTTGGCTTAGTAATATATATAGCTTGTACTCTATTTAGGATTGGCAGAATGATATTTGGTGAAGATTTTGGGAAAGAAACTGAAACATCTCCATTGGAGTAAAACTATTTGAGGTGAGATGATTGTTTAATATTTTTGAATAAAATGTATGGTACATATAATCATTGGCTTTTGTTATTTTATGTGCAGGGTTTTGTTCTACTGTCAGACACCATTCACCTTGTGAAGTGGCAACTCCAAATAATGATTTTTAGTTTAGAAGGAGTTAGTAAAGATATCTAGTACTAAAATGTCAAAGCGAGGACATCCATAGTTGTTATATGCCTATATATTAAAACTCTACCAAAAGTCTTAACTAAACACAATTTCAAAGGTCCGGCAAAATATTTCATATTTAATTTTTTGACATTTTGTTACAAAATATGGTCAAGGTACCATCAAATTCTCCTGTCACTGTCTTATCTACTTGTCTTATAAAATTAGATTCCCTAAAGCTTAATTGAGGACTTCACTTCAGGGCAACTTTGGTGAATGAATCTTGAACTACTTTGCAGTGATGCTTCAATGCCATGAAGAAATTCTATCTCACCATAATATTGACCTCAATCAGCTTAATCAGCACTTCTCAACTTCTTGCATTGATTACCAAGCAAAGCAAAATACTTTGAAATTCCTCTATAATATTTTCACTCCAGACTTTTGCTTTTAATTTTAGTCAATTTGACAGTTGTGTGTCGAGAGAGCCGTTTTTTCCATCCAAATCCTGTATGTGATGACTGTATTAGTCGTTTTTTTTTTAAACCACCAGTTTTTTAATAAATTTAAAAACTTAAAATATACAGCTTAAACTTAAAACCTATTAAAGGTTTTTCAAGTACCTATATAATTTAAATATATTATGGAAGCTACTAGTTAAATATTCTACAGATTCATTATAATATGTATGCACTAATCTAATTATATCTAATATGTTTATAGACATGTATTAACTATTTTTTTTTATTTATATTAATAAGACTTTTGTATATATGTATGTATAAGTAATATGTACAGTATATATTTATCTGCTAAATGTTTAAATGTAGTTAAATATCGACACACTTTTTTCTATAATTTAATGAAATATCACACCTGTTTAATTTATTTTTCTATACAGTATTTTTTGACACTTATGTCAATTTCTCACCACTACATCAGTTAATTGTTAGAGAATGTTTAAAGGCATAGGTAATGCCATAAAGGATAAACAATCCTATTGAGAAATGATTATGTTAAATATTTCAAAGTATAAATTTATTTTCATATTATAATTATACATGTTCGACATGCTCAGTAACTTTATTCCCTTAAAATCTACTCAAACCCTATTACTTTGAGCTCTAAATTTTCTTATCATAGTTTTCTCCTTTATTGTATCTCTCATACCTCAACTGTCATCATCTTTTGTTCTCTTTTTATTGTTTTTTTCTTCTGGCAGGAGTTGCTCTTCAAACTAGGTAAGACACAACATTTTATTTTATCGAGCGGATGTACGCAAAGTAATTTTTTGTCAACTTTAACAAAATGTTGTCTGGAAGAAATCGCTTCCAAAGCAATAAAACTGCCTATTGTACCTTCTATATAGTTTATTTAATTTTGTTTTCGTTTTAATGTGTTTTGATGTACAATAAAGAATTTATAGATGATTAATTTGTTTTGTCCCAAAACATTTGCTAAAGAGTAAGCTTATGTGTGACTTTTACTGCAGTACAATCTTTAGATGGTGTAGGTAGTAGTAACCGATCTGAATCAAAGAAAACTCTTCAAAAATCCACGTAATAGCATAGCGTTGGAAGTGTTAGAGCGATTGAGAAGCACATTGCGCGGGTCACAAATCGAGGAAGCCGAAGAAAGGCCACAAAGATGTCTTTGATCTAGATCTGTTATTATGGCATTAACATAGCGATTACTTTACCATCTAAATTGGTAAAGCCGTCTCGGAGAAAAATTCGCCAAAATGAATAAAATATGTCTATTGGAGCACTCCCTGGCAAGTTAACACCATAACAACTATCTAAAAACCATTGCTGATGAAAAAACCCTTTATAGAAAACTGTATCTATATCAGTCAAACCGTTTTGGAGATAAATGGGAACATTAATTTGCGCAAATATGTTTATTGCAGCGCCTTCTGGCAAGTTATCACCATAACACCTATAGAAGAACCATCGCCGATGAATCACAAACCTTTTAAAGAAAACCGCATCTCAATCGGTTAAACCGTATTGGAGGTAAATAGGATCATTAGTTTGAACAAATATGCTTATTGCAGCGGCGCCTGGTAAACTAATACCATAAAAACTATCTAAGAACCATCGTCGATGAGTCAAAAGCCCTTTACAGTAACTGCATCTAAATCGGTTAAACGGTTTTGTATATAAGTGGGAACATTCGTTTGCATAAATATGCTTATTGCAGCGCCCCTTGGTGAGCTAGCACCATAACACCTATCTAAAAAGCATCGCCAATGGATCACAAACCCCTTACAGAAAACCGTATCTCAATCGGTCAAACCGTATTGGAGATAAATGGGAACATTCGTTTGCACACACAAACAAAGAAACAAACAATCTCTCACTCCTCACCTCCGTTCCGTCCAGTAAAAAGGTACCTAGATCACTTTTAAAATGGTCTTCATTTGTAATTTTTAGAATGCAATTGGTGGTAGAAATAAATAATGTCTGGGGAGTACGATGGGTGAGTAAGAACAGCCTAAACAAGTGGTTGTATTTTTTACGAGTCATTGGGTTTATAGATTTGTTTCCATATTAACCAGTTGTGCCATTGTCATAGTGTTATTTGGCAGATACTTACGCCCAGTAATTAGATTTTCAGTGGCGTTAAGTCTCGTGATTAGATTACGACTGGTTATTTTCCGCAACTAATATTACGATTATTCTAGCCATGAAATCTCGTCGAAGATGTTCAGCAGTCCTTTGATGTTGCGAGTAACTTCGGAGGGTGATCCCGGCGTATCGATATATTTAGCCTTGCATGCAGCGATCTTCGTACGTGCCAGCAACGCGTGGGCCGCCGTTTTCTCCTCCCTCATACATGCCCCGTACAGGGGACTATATATAACACCTATGGTAAATAAATGTTTGTTAAAAGAGCCATCTCCTGTAAATCCTTTTTTTGCTATCCTGATCTGTGGCAATTTCAATTTAATTAAAACTATGGTTAAACGACTGTTTATTCCGGCAGGACCTTCCTAGCTTGCCTACAGTCTTCTAGAAGTGTTGATTAATGAACTTTTTAAGTACCAGTGAACGAACATTACCTAAAAGAATTGGTATGATCGGTTCCGGCCTTATATCGACCAGAGCCGATCATCCCCTGGCCGGTTCATCTACTGCGTCGTTGCCTCTGGATTCACTGTGTCCATTGATCAATTGCAGAGTCACATTGTTGTGTTTACATGCCTAATTTAGTCGTTGATGTTGTGGCAGCGCTGTCGTCGAGCCACAAGTGAAACACATTGAAGCCTAAATCGCGCTAACAAAGTTCCGAAGTAAAAGCAGTAAATACAGTGTGTTTGGTTTCGGACTGTACAAACTTAAAGGGGAGGTAATTGGTTATATTCTATCAATAAAACTATTCTACATGCGGGGTCGGGACCTAACCCCCCCTGAATGGTAGCCATTTTCATTTTTAGAACTCTTTTTATGAAGCGAGCATACTATAAGTACTGTAACTTTGGGATTTAAAGCTCAATTGTCGTAAAAAAGAAACTTTTAGCAACTAAAAACTATAAACAATGACTTAAGTAACTCAAATAATAACAATAAATGCTGCATCATATTTTTTTATTATTATGTACGAGCAGCTATGCAGGTCTAGAGAGAGAGACCAGTATCACTGCGACCTAAAAGATCTATTGTGATCGCTGCTATGTTTATAGTTCACTGATAAGCCCTACGTCCTCAATGAATAGGAGTTGCTTAGCTGTGAGCAATTTCACTTCTTCTGGGCGGAGTACATAGTTTCCCAGATGAGTGCTACGTTTGCCCATTAAGGGTCCGTAATTAGTCAGGATGTGTAAAGGCGTTTCCTCCTGTAGGGAGCAAAACCGGCACATCCTTGAGCTGCTTAGTCCCAGGATGGACATGTGCTTTTTAAGACAACAGTGTCCAGTCAGGGCTCTTACCAGAGTGCGCAATTTATTTTTACCTAATCGCAGGGCTTCCGAAGCAAATTTACGGTCAAAATCCAGGATTAAGATTTTAGAATGTTTTGAGTCTGGTGTAGGTATTAGATCAGATCTTAAGTGACTTATTGTGGTAAAGTTTCCTGGGTCAATCGGGTGAGGCTTTTTGAGTTTCGGTTCGGGTCCAAATTGTGTACTTTTTGAGCCCTCTCCTGCGAGATTGTCGGCAATTTCCTACAATACGCACGTGACCCAGAATCCATCATAAAACGACCCTGTTACTTCCCAGGGCGTTGAGACGAGTCACGCAGTCTCCAACTAGCTTCGAGTTCACCAAGTTTGATCTCAGCGCTAGTAATGCTGCTTGACTATCAGAGTTAATATAGATTATATGGTTGACATAGTGTTTTTGCAGATTGATTTTCGTACACTGAAGTATGGTGAAAATTTCTGCCTGGAAGATAGAGGTGAATCTACCCAAATTCATATTAAGTTTGAATTTGGGGCGTTCCCCATAAATTCCAAGGCCTACTTCGAGGCCCATTTTTGACCCATCGGCATACCATATACCTAAGACTACCGACCTCACAAATGACCTGTCCATTCAGCCAGTTTTCTCTGGAGGATAGCTCCACTGTATACTTTTTATTAAAAGTATATAGTGGACGCATGATATCTGGAGATCAAGCATAAGAATGGTGTTTCCTTAATTGAGTCGAGCATGGATCTGAATCTATAAGAAAGCAAGCTCAAACCGTCCTGAGCGTTAATCCTAAACAAACTAGCTCTCGCCTCCTTGTCTAAGTAAAGATCAAGGGGAGTGCATTAAGAGCCGCTGCAGTTGCCATTAAGCAGGCAGTCCTTTGTAGACTATTTAGTCTGTCTGCAGTCGTCTTTTGGTTGCCATTATTACACCAGACAGTGGAGGCGTAGGTAAGAATCGGCCTCACTATATTGCTGTACAGCTATAGGTTTATATTGGGGCGCAAGCCCTAGATGTTTCCGACTATGCGACTGCACGTACCTAAAGCCATTTTAGCCTTATGACATACGTTGCTAAGGTAAGAGTTCCACGTAAATTTTTGCAAAGATGAGTAGAACTCATTATCGTCAGCCTATCTAAAGTTATAAAAATTGTCAAGTAGCTGGATATTTGCTATAGATGCAACGCTTGGTAGGCGGGTTGGCAACCGCAGCTATTATTATTTTAATCTGTGGTCATGAAGATGATGCTGCCCATCTCCTGTTTGTTTTCCTATGTCGCCTCTTACGACGGAACGATATGAGGCAGCGGATTCTCTTCCACCGCCACAACAAGGCGAATATTTTTCTACTCCCATTCATGAGTGTAGTGCTACGCATGTTCACTGTGACCAAAGTTATAAAACTAATTTTAAGGATTTTATCGCGTTTAATTTTCACTTTTTTAATTCCCGATGTTTTGGGCACTTTACAGCACCCATGGTCACGGGAGGACTAAGGTGTTTGACGACATGATGCCATAGTTAGAATGGTATGCTTGAGTTTTAATTAAATTTTATTAATTATGGGGTCCTTAGCAGATGGTAGCACTCAGCCATCTTCCCTATTAAAATTAGGATGTTTTTTTTTTAAAGAGCCGTGGTAACTCAGATGGTTAGCACTCGCTGTAAGTTTCACAATACGCTAGTAACCCGGGTTCGATCCCCGCCGGCACCAATGAAATTGTTAATTGCAATTTTAAGTGCTGATTTACCACGTGCTCGGCGGTGAAGGAAAACAACGTGAGGAAACCTGCATGTCTGAGAAATAAAAAAAAATTATCTCGAGGACATGTGAAGTTCGCCAACACGCATTGGGGCAGCGCGGCGGACATTTCCTTGCCCTAAAACCCTCTCGGAAATGACAGGAGGCCTGTGCCCAGCAGTGGGACGTAAATAGGCTGCAACTTTACTTTACTTTACTTTTTTTAATCTCAATAGCCTCGCGATTCATCATTGGTAGGAATCGGTGTTCTATTGCAAGGATTTGTTGTCTATCAGATCCGATATAATCGTTGGGGCCATACTAAAATGTTGACATACTTTAGACTTTTCGGAGCGTCGACGCTTCACATCAATGATATGTTCTTTTAAGTGGGTTTTTATGAATTTTTCATCCGAAGATGCGTAAAAAGCCCCACGTAAAAAAAGAAAATTAAACGTGATAAAATCCGTAACATTAGTTTTATTTCATGTGTAGTATATATCATTATAGAACTGCATTTATGAAATTTTGAAATACACTCGAACGAAAAAAATCTATTTTATGGTGCCAATCAATATTAAAAAGTACCAATGATATGAATAAAATATTTCAACGAAACATTATACCGTAAATTGGTAGGAGACCATGAAATTCATCTTCATTTTTTTAAAACTAAATCAACTTTAATTATTAATGAATGTAAAGAGTAAAAAGTAAATAATAATAATAAATTTTGATTTCAAGACAATTTACCTTTCTTATAGATACATCGTTTTATACGCGCGATATAAAATAGTAGGTGTTTCTAGAAATATATATTCACGTGTTCCTATAGCACATTATATCTATGAAAAATACCAATAATCTACGTCTAATAGTCTTTGAGAATTAAATAAAAATTTGACAGACAGAGACACAGAAACCGAGGTGACTCTAAAAGTGATCGAATTTTGCTAAATTAGGCACGGAACAGCATTTAATGTTGTTCCTAAATTCAAGCTCACGCGAGCGAAGCCGCGGGTAAAAAGCTAGTAGTAAATATATTAGTCAATTTTAGTATTGTGTAGTGTAGTGTTCCTAACGAAGTGTTCCTAATCATTGCCAAAGCATGTTTGCTATTTTTTACTTAATATATTAGTTATAGTAGGGTCAACTCGACGAAGACCGTCTATCGGGAATGATCGTACAACAAGAATTACAACGAATTCAGCAGAACTACGAAGATGTCAATACAATCAGCGGAACAAAAAAACCATTTTAGTTCTTATCAATTGACATAGATGGTGGTTTATGTAGTGTTAACGGAAAAAAGTGCGGTTGTTTATTTAGTACGGTGAGCACCTTGCATTGGGAGTGTACCACGTTCTGACAAAAAAGTTATAAGTGTTTAAATCTCAATTATTTGACAGATCTATGCAAGTTTATTCTTCACTAGCTGTGCCCGCGGCGTAGCTCGCGTATACAGGTTTTACATAAACAATTTGTCGTTTAGGTAAGAGAATATTAAACGATTTATTTCATTACTGTATCAATAAGTGGTAACTAAATAAATCGTTATCATCAAAGTTCTAAGTCGTTTATGATAGAGCTTCTATGTAAACGACGTGAGAAGTAGGCTTAGCCGGGGTGTACACTAAAAGGTTACGGGGGCTACTAACGCCGGAAAAAGCAACATAGAGTTGGCCATGTGCAAAACAGTCAGTACTGAGGTACACTCCTACAACGCGTAAAGTTTGACCTTGCGCTTTATTTACGGTCATCGCATAACACACGCTCACTGTAACTGGGAACTGAACGCGCTTAAAACTGAAAGGAAAGTTACTTCTTAATAGAGGGTTTTTGGGCAGTGCTGCCAGATAAAAAAAACTAATTCAGCTCTAGGACAACACAAAAAGCGCTAGATTTCATGAAAACAGCGCTTTAAAAAAGCCCTAGATTTCGCGCTAAATTAACTACAAACAAAGTTTGTGTTTTTTTATATAATCATAATAAAGAAAACAACATTAAGTTTTTTTTTCTGGCAATATTTTTTTGATGTATCAATACTTCGCAGGACATCGACTTATAATTATGGCAATTGCTGTCAACAGTAGTTAGTACTGTACGAACAATAAAAATGTCATTAATTGTTTTAAAGTGCAATGTATTTCGCAACTTAGTTTCAGATGTCAGCATCTGATTGCGGTTGCTACACAGTTTCTTTGTGTTATAA